TGCAGTGCGTTACCGAGTTGAACCAGTTGAACGAACTGTAAGGACCTCATCCGCCACGTCCGTCCTCTCCTAAAGAGTGCAGCCACCGACTTCAAACGAGCACCCGCTCTCTATTTAAGGCCTTTTTGGAATAACAGGGACAATTCGGCGCGAAGTTAACAGCACTACGTGATATGAACAAGTAAGACGGCGGTGATGAACTTGCGACACGACCACCAGGCGAAAAGGTTTCAGCCTTAACCTCTGTTCGATCGCATTTCGTGCTCCCCCTACGAAAACTGTTGAGAGAATTCGAGCTTTTGCCACATTTTTGTCCTATTTACGATAATGAAAGGCAGGAATAGGGACAGCTGTGGTCAAGCGGTCACGATCGAGTATTTGAACACCACCGTGACCAATGCGCCTAATTTCGGCATTCTCGGACAGCTTCCGGTTGGCCGTATACCTTCTTCAGGAGNCAGGAGACTACTCTTACAACTGAAATTCAACAAAGAGTTTGAGGCATCGCAAGCATGCAGCGGGACGAACTACTTGAGCATGTCAGTGTTCGGGAATCTGGACTTGCGACCCAGCTATCACTTCCAAAAATCCATCAGAAAGGTGTGGGGACATTCAAGCAACACCTGTATCTGGTGGGGACAGTGCATCAGCACCGACAGTACCTGGGTCCATACGCAGTTGGACTGTCAGTATATCGCAAAACAAGTAGTGCCAACACGAGCGGCCTCTTTAAAAGCCCCCCCCCATTGTATCCCATGATATTCGTTCAAGTAGTCCAGTGTCTAAANACCAAAGTTCTTGTTGGTTTTCGATTTAACCCCGATGGACCTCACAGCAGAGATGCACTACGGTCGGAAACTGTCAGACCTCGATTGAAGCCGCTGCCAGGCGCAGATCCACAGTCAAACATTAATCCAATCTCACCTACATCTATCGGTTTCTTTGTCTCCCCCCTATGAAGTAACAGCGTACCCCTCAAAACTTGAACGGGATACTCAAACGGTTTCCATTAGAACCCCTACACAGTTTGTATGGGAAACTCAAGATAGCAAGAAAGCCACCGCACGCCGTGGGTAAGAAAACCATCGTAAAATCAGGACGCGTTGGCCCTGAAAGGGCCGTTCTTGCGTTCTCGAAAGGTTTACCTCGATCATCCGCAGAATTTATGCGAAAAAATGCTGCTGGATTGTGCAGGTTATGGTCGTAGTGCAAGCAGAACCAGTAGTTCTCGAACTCACATAGATCAACGAGTACCATTTAATTCACGGATCCACTGCAACCACTTCGTCTCTTTAGTAACATACGGTGTGGCCCTCAATAATCCACACAATACTGACCCCAATTGTCCTCTACGAGAAGCAGATCCTCATAATCCGTCGATCCAAGTCCGATAGGGGGTTCCACACTGGACGCAGTACGGAAAGTCGTCTCCTCGGTACCCAATGTGGATGCTTGTTCACTGCTCTGAACCACCGGTCCAACTTCGTCTTCATCAATGTCGATTCTGACGTTCACCGTTTCAACCTGAGCACTATTCGGTGGACTTGGGATATGACCGAGTAACGCATCTAAGTCGATGTCAGCGGTCAATGGGATAACACCAGTTATCGCGGGAACACGGAAGCATAGTTCTACATCAGGCCACCTAGTGATCCGTGGCAAGACTCTCAATTGTGTGCTTAACCTCTTGAAATTATCACCGTCTAATTCACAAAGTGCTGCATGAAGTTCCTTTCCAATTTCCTCGCATGTTCTTCTTTTTTCATCCATGGTCATTGCCGATTCACGACCGGGAGAGGTTTCCCCCCCTTTACGGATTCGAGAGTGTCCCACCCTAATCGATCTCACGTCATCATCATTTAGACGTTCATCGAATCCGCTGAAGGCATACTCTCGGAGTATTCTACTGTTCTTTACACTACCTACCGAATCATATACTTGACACTCCTGTTCAGTCGTCAACCTACGGTTTCCAACGTAGATCGACGGATTCCCCAATTGGAAACTGTGGCTGTGTATCATAGACCACTTCACAATGCGGTACACCTCATCGATGACACGAATAGTCACCTGAGCTGGGCAGTTGTAATTTTTGTATCTAGAATAACTAAAATAATTTGCGTTAAATTATTCAAATTACCTTAGACTTTTTCCACAAGACTTGCGTCGCTGATGGACACAACAGAACTTGACAAAGGAATACGGAAACCCCTCGGGCAGCTCCACTCCGCGTTCCTTGGCCCAAGCCTCCCGGGTTCTAGAGTTATATTTGTAGAACTGAGTGCACGTTTCATGTTGGTAACTACGGAAATCATCAAGGAATTGGTCGAACTTGACATAGGACGTCCGCATCAAGCGCCGGAACTCACCGGAGTTGTCAATCGGTGACCTCGCCATAATTCGATGACGGGTTGCGGGAACGCACTGATATTCGCTTGGCTAGTCTAGGGCGCGATAACACATACGCACATAGCGAATAAAAACAAAATATCTCAATGCCAATGTAAATCAAAACAAGCATAGAAGCGTTCGCCTGTTGGTGATAATAATAATGGCCGGTTCCATCGGTGAACCAAATAGCCGGCGAACATTAACGATGAGTGCCCCCTCTTAATTCCACTGAGGGGCACATTTACCATCCTGTGACCTTCAAAAAAATAATGTAATTTTTTTTCTATCATAGTTAATCATTGCTAATGAATCCTGTCTTCTTATCAAAAAGTTGATTATGGTCCTTTTTGTTTAAATTTTTGCCCTTGAAATCAGATCGGGCCGTTCCAACCTTCTTTGATCAAATTGAAGGTTTGGCTTGTGTTGAATACCTGCACGATTTTAACACCACAAGTTGTTTCTGAAGCTAGGACGCGTCTACGTATTCTATTGATCGGGCTAGTTACGCGGTTTCCCAAGACGGGACGAATTGAGAAGGAAGTCTGATACGAGCGTTTAGCGTGTATGTGACCTGCAGCGGAAATTGTACAGAGAGCAAGCGCACGATACAACTCCCCGGAAATTGTGCCAGGGTCGAGGTCATAAGAGTTCAGTTCAGTTCAGTTTGCACAGGACAGTAGTGGCCGAGACCAATCGTGCGTCCAGATAGTTGTGTTGTCAGCC